GCTAAGTGGACGGCGGCGTGACCTTTACGACCGGGATAAGAAGCCCTCGCCTTCTTCCCCGCCCTGAACGTCGACGGCGTCTGAATCGTGACCTTCTTGGTCTTCTTGTCCTTGGCGCGGCTCGCCGAGCCATGCGCCTTTGCGTAATTTACCAATCTCAAAAATGAGACATCTCGGTTATCTTGTCGATACTGCGAGACCATGGGCTTAATACTGGCATCTAGCCCCTCGATGAACATGGTCATCTGCTCCTCTCCATAGAATAAACATTCCCACAGCGATTACTCGGGTCTGTTAGGCGAATGTAAAATTCCATCTCGTCTTCAGACGGTGTCTGCTGAACTTCTCGCAATGCGAGCACGGCTTGACGGATCGCCTCGTCGGTTGCGAAACTCCTCAACAACCACTGTACGGCCTCTGGCTAAACAGACACCTTTCCGTCATGGGACCCGGCCGTCTGAGACACAGAAGTGTACTGTCTCAAGGCGATGCCGCTTAGAAATTCGGGCAACAAGCGGATCGCTTGCCCCTCGTTCATTTCTTGAGTATCAAACTCCTGAACTAACTTTGCCAAAAAATCCAACACAAGGACCCCGTCCTCACCTGTGAACGTGTTGTCCTTCTTCAACTTAGGCGGAATATCTCTTCTAATTTTTCGCACGGCGGTCCGCCGGGAACATGACAAATATGTCTGCGGGTTCCGCAAGCGGTACGTTCGGTACGAAAGTAATTTCTTGAAAAGGTAGTTGGTCGGATTCAGCTCCACCAACTCCTCCAACTCCTCTCATCGCGGCCAGCGTCGCGTTGCGACGTCCTCTGGCTCAGCGTCCTTGTCTCTCCGCGAGGCGGACGAAGTGACTCCGCCTCGTGTGGAGGAATTTTTCTTGCCCTGCGAAATTCCTTTTCCTTCTTCTGAACGGCGTTCGGAATCTCCCGAATGGTTCGACGAACCGCCGTTACCATCTTCGGAGGGACCAAGCGACTCCGACTGTGAGTCGCGGTCCTCTGGATCGTCATTACAATGACCCTTGCTTGTAAGTCGCTTGTCCTTCTTCGAGGGCTTGGACTTGAAGCTCTGCTGACGAGCGGGCTTGTCCTTCTTCGACCGACGGTCGCCCTCTCTACCCGAAGGGAGCGGCTTGAAGTCCGATCCTTGCGGAGCTTGATCTGCGGCCTGCTCAAGGTCCTTGAGACGTTGCGTGGCGCGATCGAATCGGTAATGGATGCTTGTTCTAAATTTTACTGAGGACTCCAAGGCTTGATTCCGGTCGCGCCTCGCGTCCTTGACCGAAAGCTTTAATGAAGCGAAGACCTCCGGCTCGATGCCGTCGGTCCCGTTGCCATTTTTTCTCGACGAGTCCCACGCGCGCGGTCAGCTCTTCCAACGCCGTGTGGAACTCGGAATTTTGCAACTCAAGTTGCTTTTGCAATAGGGCTATTTCATCCTCGAGAATTTTCTTATTCTCTCGGCGAATTTCGCTGCCCATCTTCTCGAACTTCTCGTCGAGGTCATTCTTGTCGGCGGCAATCCCCGTTGGAGATTCTTGATCTCCGGGATCCGTGGCCGTATTGGCCTGGCTCCGGGTGCGAGGACCCCTCGGGATCCTCGACGCCCGTGCCGATCCGCTTCTACTCGCCCCGGGACCGACGTCCCCGGGTGTGCTTGTTGACATCGTTCGGAGTAGCGAACGAACCTAAAAAAAAAACGAACAAAAAATAAAAAAGAGACTCCGTACCCAGACCACTTTGTTGTCGTAGACAGAACAAATTCTAGGTCGGGAGATCACTTCTGTGGTACAATGCGCCTGTCGCGCAGAGACCAAGGTCCAACAGTCCAACGCAAACAACAGCAACAAAAACAACGACTGCCAACGGCACAGCGCTACAGAGTGTTCGAAGCTCCCTGTCCTCTTTAAGCGGGTTTGCGGCCCGCAGTAGCTCCTATCCCTGATAGGGCGGGGCAAAGAGAAGGGCTCAGCCCAGGATCGGTAAATGGTGGTAGAGACTTGTAAAGGCAACTGCCCGACGAGTTTGGAGGGGCGTCTAGGTAAACCTGGTCCGATGGGTCGTAAATCCAATGCTCGAAGAGCGCCTTGTACACCTTATACCCCTGATAAGGTCTTCGACGGGGATGTCGCAACGTAGCCGGTCGGGAAAGAAGAAAACGTAGCAGCGCTACACCGTCGTACTGCCCGATGGCAAAGCACCAACACCGGATCGGTCGCAACCAGATTCCGATGGAACCAGCGCTGAGAATAGCACCACTGGTGCACCAGCACAGAAGTGTGCTGGAAAGTGACGTCACGTTGCGGATCGCAATCCTACAAGGTGGGACGAACTCAAGATTAAGGGAAATTAGGATAGGGAAGTAAAGGAAAATTGATAAGGAAAGAGGGGACCCCCGAGCGCAAAGGATACCGTAGGCTAGAGTAGAAGGGAGCGTCTTGTAAAAGACGGACTTCGACCAAGGCGATATCAAACTCTGGCAACTCGGGTTACTTTTACTGACTCGTGAGTCAGAGGGCTAAGGTATATATCGCCCCGCCGTAGTCACTACAGTAGCTCTCGGCGCTAGATCCTAAATCTAATCTAATGTTAGATCATTAATTTGTAACTAAATTAAAATAAATAATTAAAATAATAGTGTGAAATGAATCACACTGAAGTCCCCCGATCCGGACTACAGTACCCCCCTGATGTCCCTTTCCCAGAGCCGGGTATTGCACTACATCCGGACATACCCGCAGGTGGTCAACTTTCTGTTGCGCAGCTACGCTACCGACGAGGTAATTTCGGAAGGAGTTGGGGATGTGACCTCCTTCCGTCAAAGTTCAAACGTGACGTAGGAGGTCTACAGTAACCACTTCTGGGACAACGCACTCCGCTGCGGTACGGTATTCTCTGACAGGCGGCTTAAGTCCCTGTTCGTCGAGGGGTTGCTGCCCGCCACGCGCGCGCAGGTCCTAAATTACCTCGCTACGCACCCGGATGTGGCGTTCGAATCCGTCGCTCGCTATGCGCAAGCGATGGGGGAAACCAATCACGCTCCCCGTCGACAAGGGATGTCAGCCATGGCGCACCGAGAGCCGGCCAGAGCGGCAAAAAGTTTTGACCGCCCCGCAAGGACGAGGCCCGTGCTGTCGGTTGAGTCGGCATCCGACATCCCAACGGCCGTGGGGTTCGCTGAAGAAGCAATCCTGGCCGTGACGGACCAATGCGCCACGCCGACCTCGATGAGCTCGCCGCCGACGAGTTATTATCCGTCGCCGGCAGCCTTCACGGCGGGCGCCGGCTCTGCCCGCCAACTCTGGAGACGTGCGCACAGGGCCGTACGGGAGACAAGGACAGGATACACGCGTCCGGTTCTCTGGTGGGAGGTTCCGCGAACCGCCACCGTGCAGGTTCTGCCTCGACACCACGCACCGACAAGAGGAGTGCCGCATCGTTGCCGATGCGGGCCTGCGGGCCAAGCTTCTGGAGGCACGAGAGGCCAACTACCAGAAGCTACGCGTCTGGCATGGCCTCCGCCCGGGATCCCCGTGCAACCGCCAGCGGCCGTCTGCTTGGCGGAACCAGTGACAAACGGCCCCGCGGGCGTCAACGTGGTCGAGGAACCGCACCCCGACCATGGCGAAGACCACAGGGCACAAGCCGCGGATGAAACCCGGGAGGACTTGCTGCTGACGGGGGAAGCCAGGGAGGACGCGTGGAGGGAACGACGTCTCTCCCCGTGCCCAGCCTCAGAAGCTTAGGCACTCCCGATCTGGGTGCGCCAGTGGAAGCGCAGCCGGGTACCCGAACGCAAGTCCGGGCCATCTGCTTCTTCAAGAGGCAGAACTACGAAATCGGTTGGTCAGAAGCAAGCGTTGATGGTCGCCATCACGCCAGTGCTTGACTCAGGAGCCGGCCCAAACCTCATCCATTTACGGTGTGTTGCCGAGTCGTGGCGACCATGGATAAAACCGGTTCGGAGCCCAGCGCTCATCAACGCGTCAAGTCGCGCAATGAAGGCGCTAGGGGAAATCCCCTAGCTCGTCCGAATCGGTGCGTTTCTGGCACGCGTCCCGTTCCTGGTAGTCACGAGCTTTGCCGTGGACTGTATCCTCGGTACGACCTTCCTGGATCGTCATGTCAAGGCGATCCTCCCACTGCAACGGAAGGTCGTGTTCCACGACGCGCCACCCGTGGCGTTGGTCGGAACAACCCCCTCAAGGCACGACCGCAAGATTGCCTCGAGGAGTACCGGGCAACAACTACCACCGTCGGATAAACCCGAGATCCGCCTCGTCAGAGGGGTCACAATTCCCCCGATGTCGCAGGCCATGGTGAGGGTCCGCACGCCGGTGGGGGTTATGCTTTTTGCAGAACTCCCCAAACCCCGCGCACAAGAATTTGACCCTCATGGCACAGGGGGTCATGGATGTTGTCCCCGAAACCCGTTCTCGGTAATGCTCAGCAATTTCGGGCATTGTTCGGTTCACATCCCGAAGCATACCGTAGTAGGACTGGCTCTTCCGTCGCTCACTCACATCCGACTCGGCCGCGGAAACGGCCGAAGCTAAGGAAGGGGGAGGGATATTTAATTCCAACCCCTCAACCGCAAAGGATGGCGCGGAAGAAGCTGCCGACAACTGTACGGACAAGGGCGGGGCGGAACAGGCCACGCCGCCCAAGGCGCCCCTCGGGGCGGTTGGAACGGATAAACCCGAAGACACCGCTGCCCCTCGGGAGGACCCCAACGCCTGGCAGGAGTACGTCCACATCGATGCCGAAGACGAGGAAGTACGCTCGAAGGTCCTCGAGGTACTGTCCGAATTCAGGGGGATGTGGGCCGGCTAGCTGGGAAAAATCGAGGCCACGAAGCACCGCAGTGAACTCAAGCCCGGGACTCGCCCGATTTACCAGTCGCCTTACCGCGCCAGACCTACCGCACGGGAAAAGGAAAACACGGAGATCGACCGAATGCTCCGGGCAGCGGTAATCGAACCCGCTACGGCAAAATGGGCGAGGCCCGTAGTATTCTTCCCCCAAAAGGATGGTACCATGCGGTTCTGTGTCGAGTACAGAAAGCTCAACGCAGTCACCGTTCGAGATTCCTATCCGTTGCCGAGGACGGACGAGGGCATCGATTTCCTCGGCGACGATACTGTCTTTACCACGCTGGACTGCAACAGGCCGTATTGGCAAGTACAAATCGCCGTGGAGGACCGCCAAAAGACGACGTTTGCGCCGCCCTGCGGGTTGTACCGTTTCCTCCGCATGCCGTTTGGTTTGAAGAATGCCCCCGCTACCTTCCAGCGGGCCGTCGATATTATACTGTCGCGTGTAAATGGGAAACCGCACTGGTCTACCTGGATGATGTTATCATCTACTCCAAGACTGTAACGGAACACTTCGCGCACGTCCGCGAGTTTTCCGGCCTCCTGCCGGACGCGGGCGTGTCGCTGAAGCTGTCGAAGTGCGCCTTCTTCGACACCTCGCTGACCTGCCTCGGGCACGTGATCCAACCAGGTAGGTTGGAGGTCGAGCGCAAGAACGGGGTCGCAATCGAGCGCGCTCGACCTCCCCAGAACCAGGCGGAATTGCGATCCTTCTTAGGAATTTGCAACGTGTACCGTCGGTTCGTGAAGGGCTTCGCGAAAATAGCCGCTCCGCTAAACCGGAAGACGGGGAAAATCAACCCTTCGAGTTCGAGGTTCTTTCCGATGAGAAATACGAGGCGTTCGTGGAGCTCAAGCAGCGCCTCGTGTCCCCACCGATCCTCGCTCTACCCCGTTACGGAAAAATGCCCCCTGGATACAGACGCTTGTGCGTACCAGGTCGGCTGTACCCTACTACAGGAGCAGCCGAGCGGTGAACGCGTACCAATCGGATATTGGAGTCGGGCTCTAACCGACGCCGAGAAGAATTACACCACCACCGAGAAGGAATGCCTTGTTGTCGTGTGGAGCATCCTTACGCTTCGACCATATCTGTATAGGAACACTTTCGACCTCGGAACGGATCATGAGGCCCCCGATGGGTCCCCTACCTGTCGAATAGCTCCGGCCGGCTAGCGCGCTGACGTCTCCGCCTAGCCCAGTACAAATACGACGTATAGTACCGACCGGGTATTAAGCACCAACTCGCGGATGGTGTATCACGCCTCCGAGTTGATGGCGCAACCTCCGAACCGGTTGACGGCGACGTCTCGTGTTTCGTGGTACAATGGCGAGAGGGGGAGCATGACCCCCGCCAAGGTATTGTACACTGGGAGACCCCCGTCGACGGGGGGAAGCTGAGCACGCGTTCGTCTGTCTCTTCGGAAATGAATGCGGCATTCCAAAAAATCTAGTTCGGGGTCTAGTACATTTTCGTGAAAAACCAGACTTTTTGAATGTCACACGAATGTCGGACTAGACCCGGACATTCACTTCCACTTACATAGTGAATGTCTAGGCCTGGTTTGACTAGACATGAACTAGACCTAGTGAATGTCTGAGTCCAGTTGTACTACACCTGAACTAGAACTCGTGCATGTCCAAGTCCAGTTGGACTACACATGAACTAGAAGTGATGGATGTCCAAATCCAGTTGGACTACACACGAACTAGACATCTTGAATGTCCGAGTCCAGTTGTACTGGACGCGAACTAGAATTATTGGCCCCACGCTTCCCCATTCTCCGTTCTCCCATCAGATCATGTCCAACCCCCACATTGCCTCCAGGCAAAGCAATTTCTCGTACACCCCGGTCGCCGCTCCCACCCAAACACTTGCCAGCCATATCCCATCAAGGCCCCTCGGGCCCCGCCGTCCCTCCCCCAAACCGTCCAGCGCAAATGGTTGATCCTGACAAAGCTCGGGTCCCATCCGCGCTCATCGCAACGCTGCACACTCCACCCAAAATTCCGGCCATTGGGTTGCCATTTTGTGACTGCGTCTCAAGATCCCAGCACCGCATCGTCTCGTCCCGTGACCTTGATACTGCCAGCTTCCCGTCATTGCTCATTGCAACGTACGTCACTCTGTCTTTGTGTCTAGTCATACTTTGGCACACTTTCGCAAGTGGGCGCGACCCTGTCTTCACGTTCCTAGGTGGCACCGTCTTCTCGTCTGACAATGATAACACACGCCCTCCATCCTCGCCTATCGCAACACTACTTACCCCACCCGTGTGCTCCGTCATTGTCGGCCAGAGCTGCAACCCCGACCTCATACCCCATGCTCGAATACTTTCATCAAGCGACCTGCTTACCAAATGTCTTTCGTTTGAGCCTCAAACATAGTATGCAGCTTGAGTCGCAGCATCTTTCCAAGACAAATCCCAGCTCTCGCCACCCATCCAATTGTTCGTCTCATACGTCTTCCTTGTCCTTGTTGTTCTGCTTCTGCAGGCAGGGACGATGACTCACGCATAGATTCACTTCGCTCCAATGTCTCCATCCACAACCGACATCTGCGGTCCCCACACTGGCCGTTCAAGAGCACGGCCTGGACAGGCCTCTCTGGGGAGAATCTGAAGACTGCTATGTGGCTACCAAGGTGTCCGGGAGAAACAATCATACTGTTACTCTCCGTCTCGATCCGAATGAACTCATTAATCCGATCTCCATTGCGATGCAAAAAGAAGAAAAACTCGTTGTATTCAGCGGTCGCACCAACTTTCAGCTCATCTCCGATTTTCAGCTGGCCCATTCTGATCATCCTCCCATCCCGAAACTCAACAACGGCATCAGAGGGGAAGCAGGCAGGTCCACTATTCTCTTCAGAAGGTAGAGGTTCTATGTCATCCAAATCTGCTTCATATGTCGCGTCGTTCCCACTGCCTAGTCCTGATATCATTGCAGTCGGTATTGAGTGTGTGCGATGTCAGGGTTAGTAAAATATGAATTTGTTTGAGTCGAAGACTGTAGGTGGGTCGGTGGAGAACCATCACGGACGAAAGCATTTCTAACAAGTGCCATGTGTGCCGGGTTGCGTGTTTCTGAGAGCGTACCTTCACTATTATCGCTTCCTGCAGGCGAAGGCGTGCTGCTACCCAGAGCCTCTTCTGCATCGGATCTAGGAGTTTGCTCTGATAGAAGTACGTCGCTATCACCATCCTCCGTTGGAGTGGGTGAATTTTGACAAGCCATTGCCGCTGAAAAGCGGTGGGAATATTTGAAGTAGTGGGAATGAGAGGATAATTCAATGAAATCATAAATCGATACAGAACATAAGAATAAAGAGAACTTGGCCAGGTAGGTCCTCGTACCGCCATCGCACCGAGCAGTTCTTCACGTGCTTCGACGCAAGGGTAACTTCATGCCTCATGCAAGAGCATGTTTCAATGATGCTTGTGTAGTGCAATACCCGTCTCGGGTAGGAAGTGAAAAAAGGAAAATATTTGGATATGAGAAGTAGTCCGGGTTGGGGGACACATGTAGTGCAATACGCACATGACAAGGGGGGTGAAAAGAAGTGAAAAAGGAAACAAATTGGATACTGTAGTCCGGGTTTGGGGGACACACGTGTGCGACGAAGCGCACGATTATTTTAATTATTTAATTTATTTACTAATTAGATCTAGAATCTAGAGCCGGGAGCTACTGTACTCGCCCGGGTGGGGCTCTATATAACTTAGCCCTTTGACCGACCAAGTCCATAAACCAACCCGAGTTGCCGGAGTTGAATGTCGCCTTGGTCGAAGTCCGTCTCTACCGAGACGCTCTCTTTTACCTAAGCCTACGGCATCCTTCAGCGCTCGGGGGTTCAATTCCTTTTCCTTATCCTTTTACCTTTTCTACTCTACATCTATTTTTCCCTTAATTACGTTGGTTCCATCGGAGTCGGTTGCGACCGATCCGGTGTAGGTGTTTTAGCCATCCGGCAACACGTTGTGTAGCGCTGCTACTGTTTCAAGTTCCGTCGGAAGGCTGTCGTAACGACGCCTCCGTCCAAGGTCTTACTGTATAAGACAGAGTTAGTACCGCCTACCGCGATCGCGATTGCGCTGGTGAGGGTGTTTTTAGCCATCGGGCAACACGTCAGTAGTAGCGCTGCTACAGGGTTACGATCCCGTCGGGTAGTGCTGAACAAGCCCCCGTCGAAGACCTTGAACTATACCCAAGGTGCAGAAGACGCTCGTCAAGCATTGGCGTTACAACCCAGCGAACCGCGGTTACATTCTCGTAGACAAGCCCAACCCGCACTCGTCGAGCACTCAAGTCTTCACAAGTCTCTACTACCATTATCCTCCCGGGCCTGGTATCTTTCCTTAACCCCCCCGTCGGAGTCGAGCTACCGTGGGCCGCAAGCCCACACAAGGGGAAAGGGAGTCTCGAACGCTCCGTAGCGCGTGCCATCGGCAGTAGTTGTTGCTGTGGCTGTTTTTCTTCTTTTTGTTTGACCGTCGGACTGTGTTCGCGGCCTGCCAAGCACATTGCACAACAACACACGTGTGAACAATTGCACAGTTTCAATTTTTTAATTATTTTATTTAATTTTGCTGACACTACAGTAGATTTGGGATCTAGCGCCGAGAGCTACTGTAGTGACTCCGGCTGGGCGATATATACCTTAGCCCTCTGACCACCGAGTCAGTAAAGGTAACCCGAGTTGCCGGAGTTGAATGTCGCCTTGGTCGAAGTCCGTTTTTCACAAGACGCTCCCTTTTCTCTACGCCTACGGCATCCTTCGGCGCTCGGGGCTCCCCTTTTTGCTTATCGATTTTCGTTTACTTCCCTATCCTAATTTCCCTTAATCTTGAGTTCGTCCCACCTTGTAGGATTGCGATCCGCAACGTGACGTCATTAGCCATCGGGCTTCTGTGTTGGTGTACCAGTGGTGCTATTGTCAGCGTTGGTTCCATCGGAATCTGGTTGCGACCGATCCGGTGTTGGTGCTTTGCCATCCGGCAGTACGACGGTGTAGCGCTGCTACGTTTTCTTCTTTCCCGACCGGCTACGTTGCGACGTCCCTGTCGAAGACCTTATCAGGGGTATAAGGTGTACAAGGCGCTCTTCGAGCATTGGATTTACGACCCATCGGACCAGCTTTACGTAGACACCCCTCCGAACTCGTGGAGCAGTTGCCTTTACAAGTCCCCACCACCATTTACCGATCTTGGGCTGGGCCCTTCTCTTTGCCCCCCCTATCAGGGATCCGAGCTACTGCGGGTCGCAAACCCGCTTAAAGAGGACAGGGAGCTTCGAACACTCTGTAGCGCTGTGTTGTTGGCAGTTGTTGTTTTTGTTGTTGTTGTTTGTGTTGGACCGTCGGACCTTGGTCTCTGTCTGATAGGCGCATTGCACTACAAAAGTGGTCTCCCGACCTAGAACTGCGTACAAGAGACCTGACCTAGAAACTGCGTAAGCTGAAACGGACTACAGGAGACGTCTCTGCGACGTAAGTTTATTTAGGTGCTGTAGCGTTTTCTATTTTTTGTGTTAAGTTAGGTTCGTTTTTGGAAACGAACCATGTCGACAAGCGCCCCCGGGGACGTCGGTCCCGGGGCGAGTAGGAGCGGATCGGCAAGGGCGTCGAGGATCCCGCGAGGTCCTCGCACCCGAAGCCAGGCCAATACGGCCACGGATCCCGAAGGTCAAGAACCCCCGACGGGGATTGAAGCCGACAAGGATAACCTATCCTACAGGTTCGAGAAGATGGGCGAGAGGATTCGCCAAGAGATGACGAAAAACCTCGAGGCAAAATTAGCCCTCGTTCGGAAGCAACTGGAGTTGCAAGCATCCGAGTTCCACACCGTTTTAGGAGAGCTATCGGCTCAAGTGAATCTCTTCGAGAACGAGCGAGGTGATGCGACCGACGGTCCGGAGCCGGAGGTCCTAGCTTCATTGAAAATTTCAGTCAAGGACGCAAGGCGCGACGCGAATCAAGCTTTGGAGTCCTTGGGTAAATTTAGAGCCAGTATCTACGGCAGGTTTGAATGCGCCGCTCATCGTCTCAAGGACCTTGAACAGGCCGCCGGGTAAGAGCCGCTCCCTATGGGTCGAGAAGGCGACCGTCGATCGAAGAAAGACAAGGCCGCTGTACAGCGGAGTTCCAAGTCGAAGACTTCGAAGAAGAATCTGCAACG